ATATATATGTATGTATATATGTATGTATGTGCACGGCGTCTATTATGATTCTTTTCGTAATTAGTCCTTCTCCCTTCCATTTAAAAAGCGCCCCTGGCCCTCTTTCTATCTCACTCTTTCTCACTCACTACTCGATCTCGAATATACCTATCGTTCCTCTTTATTTCTTTATTTACTTTATATATCTTTCTTTCTTTCTTTCATTCCTTCCTTAACACGCATATGACCTGACCACTCGAGTTATTTATTCATCCCTAGAGAAATAACAATTCTTAAAAACATGTCATATTTAATCTCTTTCAATAAACAATATCATGATCATTTTGTTGCATTGTTTTTTAAATATCAATTTGAAGAATATTGTACAATGTAAGGATAGAAATCATTAGCGTTAGAAATAATTACATTAGAATAATTAGCAATAGAAAATAATCAACAACAAAAAGAAAAAAAAATAAAGAAAACGTTGACCTACATTCTATTATGAACGAACTCTTTTTATTTCTTCTTCTATATTTAGATTTATATATAAATGTCATTGAGAGGGTAAGAATTTTTCAGTAGTAACTTAGATTATAATCGGAGTGTGTTGCATCTCTTCCAACTCTCTTTTTAAATACGCGAGACCAGGACACGATCTAGGGCAGCTTTCGAATGAAGAAGACTACGTTTTGTACCTTGTGAAATATATAGAGAACACGTATACATTTATATAGATATATATATATAGATATATATATTTAGGAAAGCGCCTTGGCAAGGGATTCCGCGCAGAGGGGTCGGCTGTTTGCGCCTCTCGACAAATAAGGGGAAGTCGTTATCCCGTGGATGGGAGGAGTAATTAACTGCTTCTACCTCCTTTCTGCTGGTTCCACCCGCTCCCAGCATCCTTCCTTTCCGGTTTCTACTCGAAGGAGTAGACTTAAGGAGGACCGCTTAGGCTTTCACGGTGTCGTGTCTTCATTATTCACGCTAATCTGCTTTCGTCTTGTGCCTTTACCACACCGATCTCTCCTCCTCCTCCTCCTCCTTCTTCTCCTCCTCTTCTTACTCTTACTCCTTACCTTTTCCCTCTCCCTCTTACTCTCCTTTCCTATTGACTCATGAAAATCAGGTAACAATTTCACCAAGGCAAAGGATCAAAGGCAAGCGGAGATTTTCAACAACATTCTCCTTCTTACTATGAGAAATGCTATGCAACCTTTCGTTCCTCCTCCTCCTCCTCCTCCTCCTCCTCCTATTCCCCTCCTCTCCTTTCTCTTATCTTTCTCAATTCTATGGTCTTCTTGTGATACTCGATATCGATCGCATTCAAACGTTAAGATGTTTCTATTCAAAATGCTATTATTACATTTTCATCTCGCGACAATTCTCTTGGTAATAAGTGAAATCAAACGTAGATAATATTAATGTAACGACGATATCAAAAAATGATTTACTACATTATTTGTCATCGTACAATTATTTCGTTGTTTATAATTATGAAAAAAAAAAAACAAAAAAAAAACAGAAAAAGATACGTCACAGTTATTTCTAATATAATATTTCGTTGAATTGTTCATAAACACAACAAAAGCAAACAGCTTATATTATTATGTGTTAATACGATCTATATGATATCAATTTCTTTTGAAAATAATATTACGATGAGATGCCAAGACAATTTACATATTTTCTTTATCATATTACAATTTTGTTTTGTTTTTTTCTATGAAAATAATGAAAAATGAATAACATTGTATATATATATATTTATATATATGAAAAGTTTCATATCTCTTTTCTCATATACTATGTTGAATGTTTCTATACACAGAAGCATAACAGAGCTTTATAATATGTTATACAATAATCTACGGTAAATTTTCTTGGATATATAACTTGAATTTTTACCGAAGACCACCTGTGTAAGGTACCCCGCGGTGATCGGCAAATTGTGATGGATTGTTTTCTCTGTTAACAGGTTCTGCCGACAGACGCGAGACGAAAGCACACCGACTGAGATAATCTCTCATCAATTTCGGTTGCTTGATTGATCATCATGATTCGTTGCACGACCGGTCGCAATAAGCGATCAAAGAACAACGTTGCACGACCTTCTCGATGTGTTAAAAAGAATTCGAACTTTACGATCTTAAGAGAAGGAGCATTTAATTGAAGATGAACCATCAACAGATGAATTTTATAATTAAAGAAACATCGTATCGAATGTGAAAATGCAATATGATCTTTGAAAATGTGAATCCCCCTTTTTTTTTTTTTTTTCTTATGGAAATCATGTAATAAATATCAAAATTACTTCAAGCAAAGAAAAACATTGATACACAACACAACAAGTTCATTAGCGAATGTACGTACAATTTTGGTATACGTGTAATTATTATTTTATTATTAATATGCTTTTTTTTCAGTATCTATCTAATAGTGGCAAATTAATAACGTTTTTTTTTTTTATTATTATTATTTATATGCATATCTTATCCCAAAGAAGTGTTTTTAATAGTGTGCATATTGCTGTATCATCATTAGTCTTGTTAAATTCATTATTCAACAGTATTGTTAATATATAAATGCAAGAAAAAAAATTCGATAAATTCTGAACTATTCGTGAGAAATATTTCTACAAAAATATTCATATTATCTGTAAATAATTAATGAACAACAAAATCGTTAAATAAATCAATTAAAGATAATATTTCTTTGCTACGAGCAATCTTATGTTTTGTTTCATTAATTCTTACTATTAAAACTTAAGTATTAGTTATTTAAAAATGATAGGGCTTGATTTGTTAATTCGATATAGGATTAATTTGAAAAGATATTTACAATGTTCAATAAAAGGGATAAAAGTATATATGATTATTAAAAAAGAAATACAAATTGTCAAATTAATTTGAAAGTATTATGAAATTCTATTTTTCTATATATATATATATATATATATATATATATCTGCTATGCAACACTTTCAGGGAATTATTTGCCACATTGAATATGCTATCAGCACTCAAATGCATTCCTTCACGATGTAAATGCTCAACTTATTCATACATATGTATATATATATATATATATATATATATATATTATATATGTATGCTTATAAATGTATGTATACTGATCAATTCACCTTTATTATTTACTGAGGTAAGTTGAGCAATACATTTTGACCAGAAGGTAAATATGTTATTTGTCGTGAGTTTGCTAAATTAAATGCAATGTCTTCAGCAGCTTCGATTCTTCTAAGTTCAACAAGACCATCACCAGCACTGCCAAGAGATTCTGCTATTAAACTAGCAGCTTGAGCATCACCCTCTGCTGTAATAATAGCAGCTTTCTTTTGTTGTTCAGCTTTTTCTACTAAGAAACGAGCCTTTTCTGCATCCTGTTGTGCAACTTGCTTCAATTCTACAGCATGAGTAAATTCTTTTCCAAAAGTTAAATGTGTCTAGAAAAAAAAAAAACACACACACAAATTTATGAAAGTTTCATGAAATGTATGAAATAATAAATACTTATCTACTTATTTTTATATTAAACTACTTACAATAGATATATCATCTAAAATAAGACCAAATTGAGAAGCTCTTTCCGTTAGATCTTCGCTAACTTTTTGAGATACTAATTCACGTTGAGTAATCAATTCTCCAGCATCAAATTGTGCAACGACAGCTTTCAATACTTCAGTTGTAATAGATGGTAATACTCTCTCATCATAGTCAACACCCAAAACATTGTATATCTTAGGTAATGAATCGGGTACTGGTCTAAAGAGAATACGAAGTGTGATGTTCACATTCTGTAAATCCTTGCTACCGGTAACAACAGGAACATTTCTTGGTCTTGAACGTATATCAAAGATAATAGGTTTTTGTACCCAAGGAATGAGAAAATGTGTTCCTTCTCCTACTACTAGACTTTTAATACCGACAAATCTGTCAAAGATGACAGCTCTATGTCCTCCATCGACTAAAACATAAAACAAACAAGTACAATGTAAAAAATCATATTACATTTATCATATTATTTATTAAAAAATGTTTACCAACCATTATACAGGGCAGTACTAACAGCAGTTCCAACAAGACTTAGTCCTAATCCAAACTGACCTAATCGATTGAAAAATTGTGATCCCATTTTGTATATGCACTACCTGCAACTAAACATAACCTTAAATTAGTCAATTACTTTATCATGTGCTTAATATTCTGATGCAACACCCCTAATAGTATTAACTGTAACAAGCATTACATTATTGAACCTAACCTAAAAATAGATTTAATGCACCAGTAAAATGTTGATAAAAAAAAAAGTATAAGTAAAACTAAAAAACGCTTCTTTTATATAATTTACAATTACATTTAATATATATACTATATTACACGTGTATATATGTATGTAGATAAATGAGTACACGCGAGATAATTCATGAATATATGACCTACCGGTTAAAGCAAATTGTTAAATTTAAAAGGCACATAATTAAATGACTGTATTTATATATATATACTTAAAATATAAAATAACTTAAATATAAAATAATATTAAATAAATGTTATAAACCGGTATTAGGAGTACTTACGTAACGATTGGTGTCTTTTTAGTTCGAATTTATCACTTTTCTCCTTCGTACGGCGTTCATGCGTGGATAAGGAAAAATGGATTCCACACGAGCGGTGCACGAATGACCGATTAGAGCGCCATTCTTTAATGCGGTATCAACTGGATGTACTAATTGATATTCATAAGTCGGTATTCATAAAAAAAACTTTTAAATGCATAATTATGTGACTTACAATATATGCATATTGAAAATATTAACACATTATATTTTAAATAATTATTATTATTTATATGTTTGAATGAATATAATAGGTTATTAAAAAAATGCAAAAAAAAAAAATTCGCCCCCGGGTGGGCTCGAACCACCAACCTTTCGGTTAACAGCCGAACGCGCTAGCCGATTGCGCCACGGAGGCTGTTATTCTAGACTCTCTTATTGAATTACATTACATGCATTATTATGGTTATTATTATTATAAGTCTATGTTATATTAAATTAAATAATTGATACTTATAGGTATGTATATATAAAAAAAATGAAACATCGTATTAACGAAACTCTAATTGTACAATTTTATTTATTCTCTTCTCTTAATTTCTAATTATTCTAATAATTTTAGTTTAAACTCATACGTGAATATAAACATAAGATGAAATTTGAAAAGAAAATATATAATTACTTATTAAGAAATATTATGTTTTAGTGTTCAAAGAACAATGGTACTATAGACCTTAGGAAGTTTCTCTTTATGCGTATTATCCAGGTGTCCACACACTCCGGAGACAAGACCCTGAAGGGAAGTGTCTAAAGCAATAGTCAAGCTGTTAGGAGTATAGAATATTTCAAATGGTATATGAGTTTGTACAATCAGATGTTCGTAGTGGTTGGTAATCCTATATAAAAGAAAGACAAAATTAGAATTATAATAAAAAAGATAAATAATATTATTTATACAATATCTATTAACTTACTTGAAAGTATATTTGGTTAACGCATCATGAGGCTCTACTACACCTTTCTCGATCTGCTTAACTATGTTACCATTAATCGTGACTACTGGTTTGCCTTCTTTTGGAACTATTTCAATTACATGTTCTCCAATGAACACTTTAGCAAATACATTGTTTTGAACAACCTTTACGAAAACTGCATAAGTGTTATGTACATAATCGCCAGATACCAAAGTCCATTGATCAGAAACGGTGTAAGGAATAACACCCTTATCGGCCGTAAGAAGAACTTGAGGATATATAGTACAGATTTCTATAAGAAAAATATATAATTCATATTCATTAGCATAGTTCCAATTAATATTAAATAAATAATAATGATATTTGAAAATAATCTTACTCATTTGTTCTGTAAGTAGGTTATTTAGGAAGTTTAATGGGAAGTGAGTATTAAGCATCCACATAGTCGCCAATTTGTTACCAAATGGTAATTCAGTAATTTCATAACCGTGAGTTGGTGTGACAACGGATACGTTTACGTTATCAGTTTCAACTGGACATTCAACGATTACTTTTATCTTGCCAGGTTCAACATTTGTATTATAAGAAACATGAGGTGAGAAAATAGCTCGAACTGAATCCTCAAGCATAGTTAGTTTGGATACAATGGTCTGAGGTATCTAAAATAGATCATTTTATTATTATAATGCGAAGTAAGATACTTAGAGAATAAGTTTGTTTATTTACCTTCTTGTAAACAATATTTGCAGTATATTTTCTCATAGTTGTGTAAAGGATTGTTTCACGGATACAGTTCTCAGTTTTAGGAATGTGTCCTTGCTTGGTGGAGAAGATTTCTTTTTGAATATCTTTAGTGCAAGCACCGTTTATGCTATCATAAGACATCTGTTTCTTCTGTTCTTCGCTTAATTCGCTCTTCATCGTTAACGTTACTACTGTATCATCGCGAACACATTTGTCGTCATTAGTGTGGCCCATTGTAACAGAAACTTTAGTGTTAACTTCTTCTTTTGTCATGCCAAGTTTCAACGGGTCGACTGAGATTATCGGATAATTGTGCTGTCCATCTATGCAAATCTAATCGACCAAATATTTATTGTCAAGTAAACGTGTTCAATTTGAATTCGATTTTAAAAATGATCAGAATAATTAATTACCTTCAATTTATTTTCGCCTGGTGTGACACGAGTAATTTGTACTTTGAGATTGTTGTTAACGTAACCTTGACTAGTTTCAAAATTAACATTAAGGTCCCATGAACGAACAGTCGTGTTGGTGGATGCTGCTCTAACATCGATGGTACCGTGAACGTTTAATTTCTTGCTGCTAAGAGGATGCATCTTTTCAAACATATGATCTACATTTTCAATATTCCCACGCAAACTTACATCGATCTATAGTAGAAATAAATAACAGTCATTTAATTAAGAGAATTAAAATAAAACGCAAAGTTACAATTTGTTGTTGCTTACGCTCGAAGTTGGATGTAAGATACTTGGTTGAATCTTGATCAGATTTCCACAACTGCCTATTTCTGGGGAAATTAAGTTGTCCCATAATTGTTCACGAATTCCCATGATCCATTGAACAGTCTTGCTATCCCTAAATTAAAAATAATCATTATTTAATATTTTATAGAGAAAAAAGTGTGTGTAAATTCATTCATAAATATATAATTAATACCAACCAAGTATTTTTGTTTTCAGATGACATTGCTTTTATCCAATTAGCCTTTTGAGTAGTAGGTGTAATTGTACTCTCGCAATCAAAGATCGACATTGAATATTGAAGACCAGCATCCTCAGAATCGTAAGTACTTTGATAATTTTTCTTATGTTCTGTACCCTTTGTGACAACTTCGTGATGATGACAAGTAGCACAACTTTTCTTCAATTCATCATTATCATCGTCGGTAATAGTAACGTAATTCTTCACATGAGTTAATAGACCAGAAATCGAATATTTGTTTACTGGTAGTCTTTGCGATGTAACTGTGAGACTAGACATTTCTTTATTGTAAACGATATTTATGTCAAGAGGTACGGCAATATCATTAGAAGTAACTCGACGAATAGATTGCCAAACATCAGCGATTGGATTATAGATCGACATAAAGTATTCACCGTGTCTCCATAATCGAGCATCTAATTTGAGACCCAGATTAAGAATTGCATTATCTTTGGTAATATGAGTATTTATTTGCGCTGACGACATAACTGGGATTCTCGTGGAAAGTACAGCTTGAAGACCCATATCAGTAGGTACTTGCATTTCGTAGAATGTATCGTATAAGACGTTCTGTATATTCATATTAGCATTGGAAAGGATACTCTCAACATTTTCAATTTTATCAAATACTGAAACAACATTATTTTTATCTAAGTGAAGTGTTTGGACTACTTGATCGTTAATCGTTATGGTAAGATCCACGTTAATATCATGATCCAATGGCATATCTTTTGCCACTTTCTTAAGAATATTTTTAACATTCTCATTTGCAATGTTTCCAGCAATTTTAATATTAGGTAAAAGTTGTGTCACCATCTTCATGACTTCATGCGAACCAGTAACGCTCCAATAAATCTATACAAATAAAATTCATATTTGATCATTTCAATTATTGATAACAACGATTAATAATTCATACATAACTATTTATAAATTGTAAACATAATACTTACTCCAAAAACGGCGGTTCTTTTGCGGGCAAACATGTAGATATGTTCGACAGAACCAACATGCGGTATTCCAGTAAGTTCATCGAGAATAAGAGATGCTTTGGCAGTCTCACCAAATTCGTATTTGGGATTAACATAATCTACGCAATAATTAACAGAAAGAGGACCAGGAACGTTTCTGATCCTGGTAAATCTTAAAATTTTTCTGGCCATTTCTCGAACTGGACGAAGACAAGGATCAACGGAATTTGCTAAGCCTTTAATGGTTGACACATGGTAGTTATAGAGATGTTCGTTTTTCTCGTAAACCATAAGCCAGTAAAGATTCATAATACGTCCCATATGTGGCAATTGATTAATTAGAACATTGTAAGCAGCAATTCTGACGGTCAATGGCAAACTGGTGTCAGCGAGAACTGGCCAAAGTAAATTGTGAGCATAACGGAGATCATTTATGATCGTTTTCTGAATAGCCCAAATAGCTGCTACACGAATGTGATTAGGTTTGTCAGAGATGACTAAATCGCCACGGATGATAGGTTCCAAAATTGGATGAATCTGTTTTAGCTGTACGTTCTTCAATGCCAATATGTAAACCAGTTTCATTTGATACGTTGGTTCGTCTATAAAATACGCAATTTTTTTATTAAAATTCTTTCATATATTATTTATAAAATGATGAACATCGTAATTAAAAATATCTACTTACTTTTAATATGCTCGTAGAAAATATCTTTGAGATATTTGTTAATTAATATTTGATTGATAATCGTTTTATCCTTGTAAGTTTTGTGAATTATCCTGGAGAAACATAATATGCTTGCAACCTTAACATCCTTACTCACGTCGTACTCTAATTTAAGAAGATCTTCCAAATCCAAAAGGAGTCGTTCGTTTGGTGATTGTATGTGCATTGGCAATTTATGGAGCATCATAAGAGCGTTTCCATCGGAGACTTTGTGTTTAACGATAACATTCTTTGTAAAAAGACAACTGGCAGCGGTACCAACAGTTGGAACTATTTGAAGGAAGATGTTCCTAAAGAGAAAAATAAACAATTTTAATGATCGTCCAAAAATACGCATTTGTAAAAATCTAAACATCAAATACATACTTAACAGAAACCTCTTTTGGAGTCTTTGGATTTTGAATAGAATTAAATACTTCTTCGAGAGATTTAACATCCAAATGTTTCATTGTATTAAAAATTCTGTTGACTGTTTGACCGTGTTTCCAATCGGGTTCTTTCATTTCCAAATGATTTTCTTCAAGATAATCCGCAGCTTCGATCAACATTTTCTTTAATTTAGGAATAAGTAATTCAAGATTAATTAAATGTCTTCCTTGAGTAAGATCTTCGCTAGTCGTACGTGTGTTCTCTGGATGCTTTTGGAAACTAACGTCGCGTACGAGAGAACATGTTTGGAAATTAACGACAGGTAAATTTATTTGTGTTTGTGGTACGACAGTCTCCAGAACCAAAGTTTGACTATAAAAAAAAAACGAACAAATAACAAAATGATTTCACATTAAAACATGGTTCATCGAAATAATAAGAATTTCATGATAATTACTTGTTCAAAAGATAATGAGCTTCAGATCTAGCTTGCCACGGGAAATAATTGACAACACCATGACCAATTAATTTAGTAATGAGAACTTCATCTCCTTGATTTTCAACCTCGAAAACTCTTCGACTTGCGGTACTCATAGAATTCTATTGACAAATAATTGTGTTATGAATATAAAAATAAAAATGTATCGTAAATAATGAATCCTTACCTCAGGTTCTACGTAACATTTCTCGCATTCCAAATGATCGAAAGTTTTCTGAACGAAGTTGGTGCAATTATTTGGTTCGTACAACTTAGTGACGACGAAAATGTTACTCGATTGCGGATTAACCTGGTCTTTCGGATGGACATCGTAGGTCACTTGACAGTCACCGTGTATGGTGTTCTAGTGGTAACAACCAAAGAGAACATTAATCGCTATACGGGATGTCCCCGTCAGTCGTTACCCACCTCTGTTACAATGAAACTGTGTGGTTTAATCGGTTGCGTTTGAAGTTTTATCAAAGAAAAATCTAATTGAAGTGCCGAGGCTATTCCTTGTTTCACATTTTTCGACCAAATTGGCTCATTTTCTTGGAACTTCACTCCTTGAAACTGAAAAATTAAATTAAATTAAATTAAACAATTTGTTAACAAAAAAAAAAAAAAAATACAATGAATGAATTTTTGAACAATACCTTGCCGTTCTCATCGTAGACAACTAAGAATGGTTCTTCAAGAGCTTTAGAAGCTTCCAAGATCGGATTGAAATTAGAGACACGTTCGTAATGTGCCGATTGGCCATTAAACAAACCAAATTTAGAATTGCTAAGTTTTATGTAATAAGCATTGTTCAAAGTTGGATCACTTGTATCGTGTTTTACATAAAGAACGCTTTGTAGACCAAATTGTGATGCATATGGTACCGGTTCAATTGTTCCTGCCTTAACGTCAGCATAGTATTTATAGATTACGGTTTTTCCATGAGGAAAATGTGCTAAGAATTCAAATAAATACTAATTAATAGCCTTAATTAAATAAATTCTTTTTTTTTTTTTTTTCTTATATATATACTCTTAGAGAAAAATTAAAATATAATAATTATTTTCAAATAATAAAATATACCTGGTATCGCTGTTGTTGCAGCGACGAACACCAGCAAGGCTGTAAAGAAATGCAAATATTTAAATAATAAAAATCCATTATATAAAATTGCAATGAAATTCTAGCAAAAATTTATACAGAGAGAGAGAGAGAGAGAGAAAAAAAAATAATAATTGTTACTTGGAACGAATTTTTGGAAACATTTCTTTGTAAGATAATATTGTTTGTTCACTTGCTAAGAATCGACTTACCGGTAAGCACATTCGTAGCAAGACCCATTGCTCCAAACTGGTCAAAATAATCAACGTTTTCTCTCTTTTATAAGGCGAAAAAGCACAAGTTTTGCCGGTAAAATGCAAAAGTGCACTCGATAACCCCAAAGGAAAGGGTGTTATACGTAAACCATACTGTTTATAATCAGTGTATTAAAGATAACCCTCGTTAATACGTATCGGTCTATCTGCTTTGCTTTCAGCCTTCGTAACTGACTGATAATATTGAAAAATCATCAATTCATGTGTACAATGTCTAAGAATCACGTGCACTTCCTAAGTGAAAAATAAATTTAATATTGTATTTTCCGGTCTTTCGAATAATAACCGCATCAGATATTTCTCTGGTTTTTCCTATTTAGTATGTGCGTAATACAAAACTTAGATTAAATATATATATATATATATAGTTATATGTGCAAATATTTATAGGAAAGATACATAGAAGATAAACTGATGAGTAAATTAATTCTTTGAAACATGAATAATTTCGAGGTAAATAGATCAACTGATACAATAAATTATTAGATATATATATAATAGATAAAAAAATAGGTAGCTATCTCACAAATGGATCATATTCGTTGTAAAATCTAATATAAATGTAATTATATGACATACAAATATTAGGGGGATCATTTATTCGTAATATACACCCCCCCCTATAGGAATTACAAAGTTAGTCAAAAGAAATTAATCATAAGTGTGTAAAAATAGAAATTAACTTTAATAGCTTCTATCCAATGCAATAAATAAATAAAAAAAAAAAAAGAAATAATAAAAATTGTTGTTATCTTTCTTGATGATTTATGTTTTCTCTAGAGATCAAAGTTGCTTGTGGAAAGAAAGTTCTACTAAATATGTTTTATTGATAATTTATTAATATCATTTGATTCGATAGAAGAAAATGATTAATTAATAAATAATATATATATATATATATATATATATATATTTGAATATATTATATTTGATTTAATACACGTTCACGATCATAGACAAGTTTTCTTCATACATTTTTTTTTCTTTATTCGTATCGTACGAAAAATATGGATAATATGTTTTCAAAAAATTATTCTGACTTATCGAGATAAAAGAAACAACAATATTGAAAGTTCAATACTCGAAGAATTCCTTGTATAATATTCCGTTGTTAATATATATATATATTTATTACTGATTATTATAACAGTCTTAACGATAACCTTAAGATGAAATAATTATTTTCTTCTAGTAAACGCCTACCACATTTTTTAACAAATAATTTCATTGATTAAATATATTTATTCATTTCGTTACTTTGTTTTTTGTTTTTTTTTTCAACAATCATCGTTTAAATTTATATTTGGATACAAAGGACTTATAAATTCCAATTAAATCTGAACATTACTTGATATTATTAATAAATAAATCAAATAACAAATATGAGATTACGTGTTTACCAAATAAAGTTACATATATGTATATATATATGATAATTGATAATTCATTTTTTATTTATAAATAATAATGTTAGTGTTAATAAGTTTTGTGTATAAATTTGATAAATAGTATAAAATAAATACTACAAAATTTGATTTGAAATATATTTGTTTGAAAAAAATCATTATTGTTTTTAACCAATCCACGATATACGATATCTAATTTAAAATGAATATATTTTTTTTTTTTTTTATATAATTTGGAAATGTGATTAAAATTTGTTCTTTGTTGCATCATTCGATAAAAATGAAGGATAACTTAAAATCTACATATTGTGCATTATATTTATAAATGCATATACTTCAAAGATATATTTTCATTTATTAAGGAAATTTATGATTGTTTTACAAAATAATCTTTTAATTTTTCCAATGCTTTGCTACGATGTGAAATTTCATTCTTCACTTCTTTAGGTAATTCGGCATAGGTTTTTTCATAATTTAAAGGTTGAAAACATGGATCCCAACCGAAATCTCTTGATCCTCGTGGATCGACGATGATACCTGGAACTCGTCCTTGAAAAAGAAGTACTGGAGTATTTTTATCTTCATTTTCGCAATAAGCGAATGTACAAACAGCTTCGGCACTTTTATCTTCCCAACCATGAAGCATTTTGTATAATCCCTCGGGTCCTAGTTTTTCTAAAAACCATTTTATGTAAGGTCCTGGAAGACCTTTCATTGCATTAAAGCAAAGACATGTATCTTCAATGATGACAGGACCTTTAACAATTTCTGCTGCCGCACGACATTTATCTCGGCAAATATCATCGATCTCACCTTGATATTCCGGAAGATCTATCTTTTTGCTCGTTATTTCGCGAGGAAAATTTTTGCCCAATATTGCGACAAATTCTTCCAACTTTTTAACGTTACCCGTAACAAAAACAATCGGTTTCGACATTGTAAAAATTAATTTGTTTCTATTGTTTAACGTAATAAAGAATTATAATATGCGAGAAAATGTTTCGTGAATTTTCAAATTTTGGCGCGCGCTATCGTTGTGATCACGTGACACATAAATCGATGTTATAACTTGCTATTAAACTAGTTATATGAGAAAAGACAGAAGAATCTGTAAAATAACGTCAATTATCGAATTTTTTTAAAATAATAATAGATCTAATAAACCATAATTATAATATTAAGATTGATATTTAAATTACTTACGTTGATAATTATCTATTTTATTTGATTAGTTATATGTAAGGACTATATTTACACAGAAGCCATATTGTTTCGAATCATGGCTACCACATTTTTAATCGTAAACAATCGAGTTATGATATTTCGATTAATCGACTTAAGTATATCGTTGATAAATTTTATCTATATATATATATATATATTTTTTTTTAATCCATAAATATAAAAAATAATGTTTAGAATCAATTTTGTTTTATTTTTTTTTTTTTTTTACATATTGCATTATCCACAGCTCAATAAAATCAATCATATGTTATTTTATATCGTTGATTTGTACAATCAACACATTTATAATAAGACATACTTAAAAATAATTCCGTATTACTTATTTTCTTTTTCATTGAGAAAAGAAAATGATTAAATCTCGTATTATATATTAATACTAGAATATTAACAGTAATAAAGAAATACATCGTGCTTAAATGAAAACATTGTCATTGTCTACCATTTTGGTTTTTTTTTTTTTTAAACATTCATGTATATGTGAAAAATAAAATGAATAATTAACATCCACTATTAGAATAATCAATAATTAAAATATTTAATATCTTCCGCGAAATCTTCCTCTATTGTTACCACCACCCATATTAACAGCGCCCATACCAACACCACCACCACATCGTGCTTAAATGAAAACATTGTCATTGTCTACCATTTTGGTTTTTTTTTTTTTTAAACATTCATGTATATGTGAAAAATAAAATGAATAAT